ATATATATATATATATATATATTGGCCTACCTGCAACGTCGAAGTCATTTAAATTCGCTCGAAAAGAGAGAGGGAGAACGGAGAAAGCCAAAACTCCACACAATCCAACAAAGTGCATTGCACCGATTATAATTAATTAATTAATTAATTAAAGGCTAAATTAGGAAAAAACACATGCAGTAAGACACTCAAAAAAAGACCCCGCGAGATGGAAAGTTGTGGAAGTTGTGCGTTGAAGTAAATAATATAATGACTGCATATAGAGAGAGAGGGAGAGAGGATATTGAAAATTCCTCACAGTCGAGACTCTACTATTTACAACGACAACAACAAAGAACAAAAAAACTGAAGAGCTTGTGTAACTGGTGAAAGCAAGGTTTGATTTGTTTTGTTCAAAGTTCAAACAATGGCGAATTAATGAGATAATAGAAGTCCCCATCGATGGCAACACACTACCCTCTTCGATCTCCCTCTCTCCTCCTCACCCCCCGCCCCCCTACCCTCCTCTCCCACTCACTCTCCCCCCCCCCACCCCCTCTCTCTCTCTATCTATCAATCTCCTAGAAACATTCATAGTTTCCCAAGGGCAATTTTAATGGGCTTCTTACTATTGTCATTGTAAGCACAAATAAAAATTGAAATAACAATGAATTACCTCTCACTCAACTAACTAAAGGGGGAGGGGGGGGGGATTTGAGAAGAGGGTGATAACAAGTAAAGGGATAAATACAAAATGAGTCGAAACTCTGGAGCATCTAAGTTAGTAAAAATAGTAAACCAATTTAAGTTTTAGCATTTATCAGTCTATGCTCAAGTTTTATGCTCAAAAATAGTAACGCCTCACTCGCATGGAGGAAACAACAATTTAACTTTATACCTGGAAGTACCGTGGTTTGATCTGTTGTGAGAGAAGATGGAGTTGGTCTTTACGAGCCAATCCTGAGCTCGGCCAAGCGCCCGGGCTTGAGAGGAAGTCACGCCCATTTCGTGCATCAAGTCGCTCGATCGACGATTCAAATCGACCAGCTAAAACAAGAGAAAAAAAACAAGGGGAGGATCGAATTGTGGAAACAGATGAAGACTCGGTGTATGAAGTGAAACTGCATTAAACATCAGCGAATATTTGGCGGACCTCTTCTGCCCCCGTAGACGTAACTCTAGATCCTAGTTCAAAATCACTATCAAGTGGTTGTCAAACTATCCTATGGATTTCCAATATGTGTGGTGGTGGTGGTGAGTCTACAATGTGATAGGACTGATGTTCAGATGCACTCTTTGAAGTTATCGCTGTCTATAAACGCAAATACTCCGTAGAAGTCTAATCCACCACCTCAACCAGCCACGTCTTTTCCGCTTTACTCCAGATTTGCACAAACAAACAAATTTCAAGCATATGTTCGTCTGGGAGAAAGTTGATGCCATCTGAATTTCTGGCCTAAAGAAAACACCTCAAGTGTAACGTTGCCTATAAGAATGGGACCCCAAATTGACTAGAGCCTAGATCAAAAGAGATGGTTTTGAAAGTTCCAAGCAAATTAGTCGAACCACTGGAAAATTACAAGTGCCAAGAGTTATTAGTAGTAGTAGCAGCAGTAGCTGATATGTCAGCCTATTGAAATTTGATATCGGGAGATATATTCTTTTACAACATTGGGGGTGGGGGGGAACAAAGTAAATAGCCACAACACAAACTTGCTGACAAAATTCCCACCACTTCGGGTTGACAAAATGTTTCACTAGAGGCTCAGTTTTCTTTTCAATGTGGGAAATTATTCATCGGGCCACTGCCAACCACGTAACCGTGAGATCGCAATTACCAAGGCAAAAATAGCCCAAATTGTAGAATACACACATTAGCAATTCGGACAATGATTTCTTATGCCCCCCAAAAAAAACGATTTCTAAAGTTGAACTTTTGCACTGTGTGTGTGTGTGCGCGTTTGTGCGTGCCAACGGATTCATTGAAAATCCGGGGGAATTAAATTATTGCCAGTAAAAGAGAGAGAGAAAGAGAGAGACCATTTCAGCGACAATTTACCCAGACACAATAATCCACATAAAAAAATAAAGTTGACATCACGACGGATAGACACTGATTGAAGGGACGAAGTGGGCAATACAGCCCCTCCCCCCCCCCCCCCCCCCCCACCTCAAATTACCTCCTGTCTGATGCACCCTTGCTTCTAATCCATCACAGATTAAGTCTACTCGACAAAATGAACGAAAAAAAAAATAATAAAAATAATTCAAGATATGGGTGTTAGTGAAACGGCTTCTATGGGGTGGGGGGTGGGGGGAATAGTGGTGCCGAATGAAGCCGTCAAAACCCGAAACAGAAAATATAGAAACTAAAACCCACGGATATGAGCGCAAAATGTGCATGAAATTTCAGAGGTCATGTGTCCTTGGCATCACTACCATCTGGAAAGCTGGACATCATTTCGCCCAAGCCATATAGGGGAAAAAATACAATGCTCCATTTGCCATTCTAGGAGAGTGTAATAGAAATAAACGCGATTAAGTTGAGTTTAATACCAAAAAAATATTGTGAAGAGGGTTGCTCCATTTGATTTTCGAAATCGGATCGAAGGATATTTCGCCTAAGAAGCAATTCACGTCCGACTTCCGGCGTTTATCTACCAGCTGTTTAATGCTGGCGGGCAGTCTCTAGAAACCCAAGTCTCGATATCATCTTCTTCCCAAGGTTGAGAAAACAGCCACCATCTTAAAGATCTCCGAGTGACCGGTGTAGACACTCAAAACAGTAACTTCTTCCAAAGGGAGAAAAATTAGCAAGTAAATTGAAGGGGTTCTAATTTAAATCAATCTGTGCTCCACACTAGTGCAATTTAATTCAAATGATATGAAAGCAGACCAGATCTTTCTGATATTTGCGCCAAACTGGAGCCTTTATAGGCGCATAACAAGAGTTGAAACTTCGCGTAAACACGCCAGTTGTGGAAGTTTAATTTGTGTGATGCTTCTGAACTCAGTGCTAATTTCAAAGTTCCAAGACTGAGTACACATACTAAAAAGAACAGCAAATAGATGCACTGCATCGCGGGGAGACGGGGTAATCCAAGTTTTGGGAGAATAGGAATCTTCCGCAAAGCAATAAAAAAATAAATCTCCTAAGAAAACTAAAAGTATTCTTAATATATCCATTAAAGAGGAGAGTGATTGCCATTCCCACCCCCCCCCCCCACCCCCCCCCACCCCCCCAACAAACAGAATGTCCTATGTTCGCGTGGAGGA